TGTCATTTTCTTCAGATATTTTCTTATTTCCCCTTTAATTTCTTCAATGATTCATTGGTTGTTCAGTAGCATGTTGTTTAATCTCCATGTATTTGTCACTTTCCCAGCTTTTTTCTTATAGTTGATTTCTAGTTTCATAGCATTATGGTGAGAAAAGATGCTCGATATGATTTCAATCTTCTTAAATTTATTGTGCCTTTCCTTGTTTCCCAATGTATGGTCTAACCTTGAGAATGTTCCATGTGCATTTGAGAAGAATATGTATTCTTCTGTTTGTGGATGAAGTGTTCTATATATATCTATTAAGTCTATGGGGTCAAATTTTTCGTTTAATCCCACTATTTCCTTGCTGACTTTCTGTCTAGATGATCTCTCTGTTGATGTAAGTGGAGTGTTAATGTCCCCTGCTATTATTTTGTTGCTGTTAATATCTCCCTTTATGTCTCCTAATAGTTGCACTATGTACTTTGTTGCTCCTATTTTAGCTGCATATATATTTATAAGAGTTATGTCCTCTTGGTGGAGTGTCCCTTTTATCATTATATGTGGTCCCTCTGTGACCCTCATTGCATTTTTATCTTGAAGTCTGCTTATTCTGATAAAAGTATGGCAGCGTCTGCTTTCTTTTGTTTCCGTTTAGCTTGGAGTATCATCTTGCATCCCTTCACTCTGAGCCAGTGTTTGTCTTTAGAGCTGAGATGTGTTTCCTGCAGGCAGCATATTGTTGGGTCTCTTCTTTTAATCCATCCAGCTACTGTGTGTCATTTGATTGGAGAATTCACTCCATTTACATTTAGAGTGATTCTTGATATATGAGGGCTTAATGCTGCCATTTTTCACTTGTTTTCTGGTTGTTCTGTATTTCCCTTGTTTCTTATTCTGTGTATTTAGGACTCCCAGTTCAATTTCTTGCTTTTTATTCTCAGTTTTCTCTTGTAATTTGTGTCTCTCTTCAGATTTTCTTTTAATGGTTACCATGAGGTTTGTATAAAAGACTTCATAGATGAGATAGTCCATTTTCTGATAGCCTCTTATTTCCTTAGCCAAAGCAGCTTCCATGGCTTTCTGTTTCCCCTTCTCAGTTATTGTTGTCACAACTTGTTCCGTTTTGTGCTGTGAATTTGTGGTTAAAATGAAGTGATTATAGGTATTCCTGATGTTTTCCTTCTCTTTATCTTTAATGTTATAATTAAGTGTTTGCCAAGCTGTTCTGATAGAGAACTGTGATTTCCTGATTTTCTCTGCTTGTTTATCTCCTTGCTCAAGGCTTTGTCAACCTTTCATTTTTTTTCAGGTATGATGGTCTTATTGATCATTTCTAGGCGATGGGGGATGTCCTGAACTCCTTCAGGTTTTGTTTATCTGAGTAAGGTTTTATTTCTCCACCATATCTGAAGGATATTTTCACTGGATAGTGTATTCTTGGCTGAAGCTGTTTGTCGTTGAGAATTTTGCATATATCATTCCACTCTCACCTAGCCTTTAAGGTTTCTGTGGAGAAATCCACTGAAATCCTGATACAGGTTCCTTTGTAGGTTATTTTTTTCTGCCTTGCTGTCCTTAATATTTTCTCTTTGTCATTGACTTTTGCCAGTTTTACTAATACATGCCTTGGAGAATGTCTTTTTACATTGTTGTAATTTGAGTTCTATTGGCTTCTTTTCCTTGTAATTCCAGTTCCTTTTCCAGGTTTGGGAAGTTCTCAGCTATTATTTCTTTGAATGAGCTCTCTGTTCCTTTCTCACTCTTGGATACCTATAATCCTTATGTTGCATTTCCCAATGAGTAGAATATTTCTTGGAGAATTTCTTCTTTTGTTTTGAGTCTTAGTTCCCTCTCATCCTCCAGCTGAAGCATTTGTATATTTCTGTCGTCTACATAGCTAATTCCATCCTCCATGATTCTAGCTGTGTCATTTAAGGACTCTTAATTTTTCTTGAACTCATTCATTGTGTTTTTCATCTCCAACATTTCTGCTTGGTTTTTCTTTATACTTTCAATCATTTTTGTGAAGAATTCCCTCTGCTTATTAATTTTATTTCTAATTTCATTGAACTGACTTTCTGAATTTTATTGTAACTCTTTGAGTTTTTTTATGATAGCTGTTTTGAATTCTCTGTCAGTCAGATTGTAAATTTGTGTGCTGTCAGGATTGACGTCTGGGTGTTTGTCTTTTTCCTTCTTGTATGCAGTATTAATACACCTCTTCACACTATTTGATGGGGTGTATTTGTGCCTTCAAATAGTGGTAGTATCTGTTTGCATATTCCACCCAGCACCACTGGGGGCAGGGGACAGGAACTGTGTATTCTGAGCCCAGCATGACCCCTGGCAGCTGTGCCTGTCTGAACCTGAGCCACTTCTTTAGACTGCAACATCACTGTAGCCTCTCCCACTTGATGGGAAAGTGATCATGCATGGGCTGAGGTCTGCCACGACCTGCTCCCACAGTCCCTCTGTGGTGTGCTCCCACCTTTAGGGCCACAGCAATGCTATCGGCATTCACAGAGGCTGGGAAATCACTTACCTTGGCATGCAGATCTGCCATTGCTTCTTCTTAGGTCATACTGGCACTTATGATTGGTGGGTGTGCCTTCCACATAGGATCAGAGCCTGAGCCCCTCCCTGGGACCATGGTGGCACTTTTGCCTCTCCCATGAGACATGAAATTGATCATGTGGGGGTCAGAGCTGCTGTCACCTGTTGCCGCAGTTGCACCAAGGGCTGCAGCAGTACTATGGGTTCTCCAGCGAGGAGAGAAGCCACATACATGCACAGGGCTGGTGGGGGGCTGGAGAATACTCACCTATCTCTGCCACCTCCAGGGGGTAGTCAATGCACCATCAGATGTATAGCTGCACGGGTCTCGGGGATCCCATTGTGGGGTGTGGATATCCTCCATTGATCAATGAATGTTCATTTAATTGAAGTTTGAAGAGGCAGAGAAAAAGGGAACAGCTCACTCTGACATTTTGCTAGTGTCACCTGACCAAGCAAGGTTTTGTGATAGCCTTTGCTCCAGTCTACGAGGCATTTGGTGACCTCCTAGTGAAAGTGAGGAAGGCTCCTTATAAGGAAGAAAGTTATGATAAAATATTATCTATGATAAGAATTCCTTTCTCTTTGTAACGTGATCCTCAGTCAAAGGGAAAGAGAGCTGAGTGTATGGTGTGAGTCACTTGGCTCAGTGAACCTTAGGCCACAGCAAACACACTTCCCACCCTAGTGTGAGCTTTAGTCTCCTGTTCATGCTGCTCCTTGTAGCACCTCCATTTGCCACGATAGGAAAGTGCAAGCTCCAATATCTCCAATTACAAGACAGACAACTTTTAAGTGTTTCCAAAGGATTTTTTACTTTGTAAAGGTTAAACTATTGAGTCTCCCAATAAAGATGTGGATATGGAAAACATTTTGATATCTAAAATTGAAGTCACACACACTTTTTCAGAGATACATGAATTGGGTAAAGAGTGTATTTTTGTCCCAAACTCCACAACAATAAAATTTTGTGAGAAGAATCCTAATGTTTTCTAAACAGAGCCTTGCGTTTGGAGAGAAAATGCAAGTGTGCCTCCCTAAGTCCTGGCTTTGGGACTCCTGCTTGTAACGGGTCCTGTGTGCTTTTACTCAGACCCATGAGAGAACCAGGCATGTCTGCTGTTGTAGCCGCTGAGTGTCAGTCTCTGGGCCCCACTGTGTGGACTACCCACGCAGCCTGGGATGGAACAAGGGCTTTTGCTGACTGGACACAACCAGTCTCTCTCTTACCATCAGAATCGCCAAATGAGTGTGCACACATCCATGCATGCAACACACTTATGACTGAAGCTAAAACTCCTGAAATGATGCTCACTTTGTCTCCATTTAGCACGAGATAGTTTATGTTGTCTTCTATTTCATTTTAAAAATTAGTGGGTTTCACAATCCATTGAAGGATGGTTATGCATATTTTGAAAAACGCTAATACAGAAGATGAGTCCTAGACTTTGGTTTCACATAGAAGTGAGTTTGAGTCCCAGGTACACCACCTAATTGGGCACGTTACTCCAGAAATCTTTGTCTCCCCAGCTGTAAAGTGAGAATAATAACAGACTCCACCTCAGCTGATTTTTGTAGGATGGAGTGAAGATAAATTTTGGAGCCTCCATTGTATGCCAGACATTGAACAAATGTTAGTTCCTCTCCATGTACCATAAGGTTGATGCAGTAACATCCCTTTTTCTAGATTACAAAATGTACCAAGTAGAGGAAGAATGTAGAATTCCAAAAAAAAAAAAAAGGAAGGAATCAGCATCCTGCGTGTGTGGAAAGGATTAGGATCCTTGGAGCTACAGCTAAGCGAGTCTGAGCCCTAATTCCAGCTCTGGAACAAACGTAGCGTTAACTCAGCTCCCTCAGCCTCCTCGCTGTCAGGGGAGTCCTCTTATTCCAAGGCCCTCACAGGCTCCCAGGGCGTGCATCCGTGGGCGTTCCAGCCCCGCCCTCCCTTTAGTCCAGGGTAGATTTCCATGTCTGTCACTACCTGGAGCGTGTCTGTGGGCATGTTGTTGAACCTTTGAGTCTCGATCTCATTAACTGAAAAATGGGGATAATAGCAATTATTTCCTGGTTCTCTTAGGAGATTAAAGATATAATGCAGCCAAAGGGGTCAGCACTCGGTCAGGATCGTTAGGAGGAGGTTTTCAATAAATATTAGTTCTCTTATCCTGCCCCCACCTTGGACACACACTCATGCATCCTTACGCCAGACTCTCACCTGTTAGGCTGCCAAGACACCAGAGTTCACCCAGTGGAGACTGCAGAGTGGTTTGGTGCAGTTTCCTGGGGCTGGCTGCTGATTGTGAGAATTTGAGCCAAGGGACATTCCAGGTACTCTCCAACTCTGCCAAGAAAGAGGCAGACCCTTCTTCAGCATTGTTGGTGCTGTTAACCACGGATCTTAAAGTGCAGTTTTGTTTCTGTTGTTTCATTAATTCATTCCTTCATTGATTCTGGTGTAGAGAACCCAGGATACTGCATCATGGCAGCGAAGCCCAAGCTTCACTACCTCAATGGACGAGGCCGAATGGAGCCGATCCGGTGGCTCCTGGCTGCCGCTGGAGTTGAGGTCAGTTCTGAGTTCAGTCATCTTAAGCTCGATCTAAAACTGACTATCAAAGTCCTTTCTCCCATGAGCTAGGAGACTATTCTTTCTAAATGATCTGACAAGAGGTTGTGCATTAAAACAAATTCAGTGATTAAAAGAGATGAATGGATTTGACCTAATATATTATTAGAATTTCTTGTCATCAAAGAACAAAAACAATTAAAAGTTTAGTAACTAACCACCATGTGTGGGCCTTGTTTGGATTCAGATTTAAACAAACTGTAAAATGTCATTTGGGACACTTTTTCAGTACTTAGAAAGAGGAACATCATGGAATTCTAGATAATATTAAAGAGTTGTTAATGTTTTAGGTGTGATAATGTACTGTTGTTATTTTTTAAATAATTTTTATGTTGTAGAGGTACATATTGAATTATTTAAAGATGGAATATATGATATTTCTGATTTTTCAAATTACCAAAAAAGAGGGAGAGTAGTGGGCATATGGTGACAGGAGTCTGGCTTGAGTTGTTAATTATTGCTGCTGGGTGAAGGGTACAAGGAGGACCTTTGTGCTTTTTTGTTCATTTTTATCCTTGCTAGAAATTTCCATAATGAAAGGATAAAAATATTTCACAGTAAAGTAAAATATAATTAAATTTAAGATATGACCGGTAATATAGGGGAGAGTGAATTAGAATAACTTGCTAGTGAAAGATGTCATACACTCACTCGTCAGTGATTTTGCTGAGCACCTTAAGTGCCGGGTCCTCTGCTAGGTCCTGGGAATGCATGGATGGACAGGACAGATATGGGAGCTGTCCTCAGGCAGCTTACATTCTAGTGAGGTTGCACACTAGTAAGGAGGTGATTAAAAGGAGGAGGAGGGGGGAGCATCTAGGAGGACACCCAAGCATTGACAGTGTCAAAATGCCATAGTCCCGGTGGAAAGCTGGTAGGTTTCCCTGGGACTCTGTTGAGTGCTTGCCTCTAGAGGTGTCATTGAGAAGAACACTTTTCGGTCCAGATAGGGGCACCAGCATCTCTGGGAGGGTTTTCCTGGGGAGGAATCATGGACAGACTCAGGGGATCTCATCCACCAGGTGGGAGCAAAAAACAAAGGTTTCATGTGAGGTGGCGTCCTGTGATAGGAACTTCTACTGTGCTCCCTTCAGCCTCGTAACAACATGTTTACTGAAGCCGTGGGATTACACTTTCTCGATTGCTGCACGGATGCATGGGACTTTAGCCTGCTCCTCTCTCAATGTCATGAAGGAACAAGGACACAAAACATCCAAATAGTGCCCTTCCAGGTCATTTTCTCTCTATAAATCCATAACCCGTTTTCCCTGTATCCAGCTTCAGCTGTGGGGTTCAGGGATGTGTTCAGAGCCGCTGTGCAGGATGAGTTCAGCACAGGAGGGTGAAGTAGGGAAGATGCTGAGCACATCCCAGGCTCCTCTTCTCCATCAGCTTGACTGAGGAGGGCTTGGGGCATGACTTACCAAAGGCTCTTGGTCAGTTCTTCTGGGTTCTCTGTGCCCAAAGGCTGGTCCTCACCATCCCATCCATCTCCCTTAGCCTCACAAACACCATCTCACTAGCCAACCCATCCCACCTCGGCCGCCCTCCCTTGATGACCAGCCACAATCCCTTAAGTTTGTCTGGAACTGGGTGCTTTAGGAATCTCTGCACCCCCACCTCAATATCTGTATGGTCTAACCCTGTTTAGCCATGTCGATCCACAATAAATGCTTCCACTGGACAAGTTAGAATTCCTCAGATTCCCAAGCTTTTAACCATCAATGCATGAATTTGGATTGGTACCAAGCCCCATCAACGCAGAGATCTATTTTCTTGACATCGGGCTCTTTTGACTTTTGGTTTGATTGATTCTGCTGATTAAGTAAACTGCATGATTATATAGTTACTTATTTTCATGTTTGGATTGAAATCCCACAAGCCCTCAGAGTTTCTGGTCAGATTGACGGCCTTGCTGCTGGCTGCCCGTCCAACCAGAGAGACTTGCCTCAGGAGAAGGAGAATCTACACCAAGGTCAAAGTCCTGAATGTAGGTCAAGGATGGAGTATAGGTTCAGCAATGTTAGATGGCGTTAATTTAAAAAAAGCATGGTATGATGAAATAACAACCATCTATAAAAATCCTGACAACTAGTGTTGATTGAGCACCTGGTGTATACATGGTACTGTTTAAAGGCCTTTGCATACCTTACTGATTTAATCTTCACACCAACTATAATGTAGGTACCATAACTATACTCATTTTATAGAGGAGGATACTGAGACACGAGAATATTCAGTAAAATGATCAACATCTGGAGTTCACTATATGTAAGAAATGACATTCAAATCCAGCCAGTCATATCCGAAATCAAAGTTTTCTCATTAAAAGTTTTTTTTTAAACTAGTTTGGGAACTCTTTTTCCTCTCTTCAATTAGGAATTTTAACCTAGTGTGTCCCAGTTTTCCAGAAGAGGAAATTCTGACCCTATAGAGTTAAAGCTGTGCAGCAACCAGGACTCACTTCTTACTAAGCGGGGCCTCGTGCGATGGAGTGATGTCAATGACAGCAGAGGTTCCTGGTGGCAGCATCTGAGATGGCCAATGCCCCGTGGTGTACCCTATGCTAGAGGACACACAATGTCCTATCCTGATCTCTCCTGGAGAGACAGGCTTTCCTGAGACACTAAAACCCCATAACTAGAGGCACTTCCCAGTCCCTTCCCTCTGTGACATCTCCCTCCCCAATGACCAGGATCGTCCACAGAGTTGGAAACAGGGTGGACTGAATTGAAACTGCAAGAACCAGCCATTACCTCCTGCCACCTGTGCTCTTTCCTTGATGGCTCTAATCTAAATTTCCAGTCACCCTGATCACACTCCCCTGTCGCCCTCCCAGGTCAGAAATCTTCCTTTTGCTTATTATGTCCAGACAGGGGCCATTCAAGTGTAAACTTCTGTAATGCTATGGAACGAAAGAACAAGAACTCATTTACTGTTTCTGCTTTCCAGTTTGAAGAAGAATTTCTGGCAACTTCGAAAGACTTGGAAAAGCTAAGAAACGGTAAGACCAAGTATCTAAATTGCTCTGATGGGAGGAACTAGTAGAAGTTATAATTTGAAGTTTTAACCCCAGGCATTGCCTATGTGTGTGTACATTGGGAGTTGGGTGCCTAGGAGAGGGAGAGAAATGGTTCAAATGGAAGGAGGGGTGGGGGCAGGGGCTCCATGAGCAGTGCTTGCAACTCCCTCAGGACGAGGAACAGCTACGACTCCGAGCATTTGCTCTAGGACCATCCCCCATGCCATGTGGATCCCTCTCTTTGCTTTCTCCTGGTTTTCTGTACCATGACTGAGCTGTGTCAACACAGGATCCTAAAGCGCCATCACCAAAGACATTAAACACATGTATTAGAGTAAAAGAGGAGAAACAGGCCCAGTAGGTGCCTGGAATTCTTCTTTCTGATGAGTTTGACAAGGTGATGTCCTAGCAGTGTTACAGACTCAGATAGCAAGATGGCGTTAGATTAGTTGGAAGGCCAGGTGACCCTGTGAGGAGGGAGAGAAAGAGTGAGGCCAGCAGCAGTGGCTGGGAAAACAGGGTGCCCCTATATTCACTATCCAATGGTGGGATTTGAAGAGCATACAAAACACCCTCCGTAGAAATCTCTCTTAGTACTGGCCTTAATGCCAGCAGCAACATAGACTTATTTTGGCAACTTCCCAACTGAAATGGCAAATGGCTGTTGGCCCTGTAGCAGCTTCTTCCCAACTTCTTCCTAAAATATCCATGAAGAGAAATCAAACACAAAAAATACAGGGACCTACCGTATAGCAAAGGAGAAATAAAAGATAAATGAAATAACAAGTTAAAAGGTAAAAGGCAGATTGATAAGAAAAAAGATTATAGAGAGGTAAAATCAAATGATATTTCCTTCCAATGTTCCTGGCTAGTAATTTTTTGTTTCCTTTCATATCTTCCATCATTTCAAAAAACAGGTTTTCATCTGAAAGTGTGATCCATAGAACATTTCACTCTACTTTTCCTTTTCTTCTTTCAAAAGATGGGAGTTTGATGTTCCAGCAGGTGCCAATGGTCGAAATTGATGGGATGAAGCTGGTGCAGTGCAGAGCCATTCTCAACTACATCGCCGCCAAATACAACCTCTATGGGAAAGACATCAAGGAGAGAGCCCTGTACGGTATTTTTCCTGCTCTTTCATCAACAATTGATAAGAACAATTTAGGTCCTTCCCTGAGGGAGCAGGACCGTGTCAGGGGGATCATGGTCACCAGCAGCGTGGCCTAGGTGGTATAGACTGAGGTCCAGTACTCAGAGGATGAGGGACAGGAAACCTGCAGTGGACTCAAGCCAGTGGGATTATAGAAGAGGATGCGGCCCACGGAGAGGGCACAGTGAGAGAGATCTGAAAACTCTGATCAACTAAGAAACCAGGAGGATGGTGGAGTCATGACTCCAGGTGTTCAGGCTTTTAGGAGCTGGACACCAGCCCACAGCTAGAGACAAGGGACAAAGTGTCTGAGGGTCTAGAGGATAAGGCTGGGTTAGGGAAGGACCCAAAGGAGCTAATTCCTAAGTTCCAGAAATTAGTAGAATGATGACTTTGAACCTAACTTATGACCCAGTTATGTGGACTGACCATCTGACAAGGGTTAGGAGAGGTTGAGGCCAAATGGCTAGGGTTACATCAAGAATTTTGACACAGAGCTGAAGCAGCCAGGTTATGTCAATACAACCATATCGGGGAGAGGGAGACTGCTCTCTGTTGTGATGGGACCATGTGATTAAAATTAAAACCCTGTAAGGAAGTGTGGCAGTTATTCAAAAGTTAAACATAGAGTAAATATAAGACTCAGCAATTCCACTACTAGGTATGTACTGAAGAGAATCAAAAATACATCCACACTAAAACTTGTACACCAATGTTCATAACAATGTTGCTCTTATTTTCAAAAAGTTGAAATGGTCCATCAAGTGATGAATGGATGAACAGAGTGTGGTACAGCCATGCAATGGAATATTATTTGTCCATGGGAAGGAATGAAGTTCTCATGAAGGCGGCAACATGGATGGACTTTGACAACTTTAGGTTACACAAAAGAAGCCAGATACAAATGGTGCATATTGTATAATTCCACATCACAAAATGTCTGGAACATTCTTATCCATAGAAACAGAAAGTAGTTGACTGGTTGCCTGGGGCTGGAGGGAAGGCAGAATGTAGAATGCCTGTGAAGGCACACATGAGTTCATTTGGGAGAGATGATAATATTCTGAATTAGAGTGTGGCGATGGTACAGAATTCTGTGAGTTTACTACAAATCACAAAATTGTACACTTGAATTGGATGACGTTATGGTAGTGGAAGTATATGTCAATAAATCTTTTATTTCTACAAACTCTTATAGGAAGCTCTGTTTGGAACACACGCAAAAAAAAAAAAAACAAAAAAAAAAAAACAAAAAAAACCCAGGCACATGGACTGGTGGGATGTGTATAAGGAATTACATCATTTCAGGGGATACTTTAGGTGAGGTCTTGAGAAATGCAAACATGGCCAGTGTCGGACAACAGTACATGAAGAGGGCTGTGGAATGATGTTCTATGGAAAGTCATTGGAAGATCTTCTAACATTGGGTATAAGTGAGGCTGGGTAGTGTAAGAGGATGAGAGGGAGAGAGACATGACTGAGATGGTTGTGACAGGGACTCTCTCTGGAGGTGAGTTAAGTGGCAGGTTTTTGGCTATGTGAATCACACTGAGTTGTGCACTGAACAAACCCAGCAGAGCTGGCAAACCCTAGCTAGAGTTTCAGTGGTCACTTGCAGTGATTTCACCCAAGTCTCTCATGTCTGTGACTCGGGGAAGGTCACCCATAATCTGAGACTTTATATTTGGTCATGTGTATAACAAAAATTTTCGACATATATCTACCATGATAGCTTGTTCTAGAATGAAACGTGAAAATTATGTAAAAGTCATAGCCGTGACTGGGCTATAAAAAAGCACCCAACGGAGGTGAATTCATTTGCCACCTATGATGCCCCATTCTTTTACATTTTTCAGCTATAGAATCTAAGGCAGGAGACATTTGACACTTTGGTCATTTTTGTCTTTCAGGATTGACATGTACATAGAAGGTGTGGCAGATCTGAATGAAATGTACATTCATTTGATCTTAACTCCACCCAGTGAAAAAGCTGCCAAGATTACCGAGATCAAAGACAAAACAACAAATCGTTATTTGCCTGCGTTTGAAAAAGTGAGTGCACTGTTCAGAATCTTGGGGGCACTGCGATTAGAGGAGTAAGAAAAGGAGTGCCTGGGCATTCCTGGGGCATTGACCCTCACCTCCAGTGAGCCTTTTTGAATACTAGTGAATGGAGCATCCTGACTCTCAAGGCATTTTCCAAAAATCCACTGTGAGGAATAATTGTGCCAGTTTTACCCAAGTTATAATTTTTCACCAATACTTCAATTTACTGGGACCCAATCTACAAATCTCTATTCCCTGGAATTTCACGGTCATGGAGCTTGGGCTGTGGAAGGCTCTGGGAGCCACACTAGAGACTGGAGAAGATCCCACAGAACATCATACAGAGGGTTATGTTCCAGGAGGAACACGATGAATGCAACACATCAGAAAATATTCTGGCAACTTATAAAGGGCAGCTTGAGACGAGCTGCCCATCAGGAGAATGTGGCAGAGTTTCAGGGAATGGATGAGATGTGTCTAAAGAGAGATGGGGTGGTGGGACAGAGAGGAAACAACAGATGAAGTAATGTTAAGGGAAAATTATCCATAATTTGGGGGGCATCTCCTTAGATGTTTGAGGAAATCCATGCAAGCTGAGGAAATAAATTTCCATCATTACACGTAGTACCCAGCTTAATTAATGTTTCTCTTTGAAGGGAAAGCAGAACATTTCAAGATCAAAACTATCTGAAATCATGCTAAATAAAAGTGAGGAACCAACAAATGGTTGTAAGAGATACAGGAGGCTTACATATAAATAAAAGGATTAACACTGACACACTCATCATTATAAAGCATCAAATCACTCTTTCATTCATTCAATAAATATGCATTCAATTGCTACTGTGTCAGATCCTGTTCATGGAGGGAAGAGTTTAATAGTAATCAGAAAATCCACTCTCCTGGCCCTTGTGGTGCTGAGAGTTTAGCACGTTCACATGGCGGCAAGCTCCTCAGTCACTGCAGTTTGAGGACATCTGTCCATTGAGATCAAAGAGCCCTGTGATGACATAAATGAAAGATGCACATTACAATATGGCGTTTGATGCTCCAATATATTCTTCATTTTTTATCCATACTTCTATATGCATACATAGTCTGAAGGGGTAATTGCCACAATGTTATGGCCGTCAGTTGGTGGAGCCATGATTTTTCTCTTTTTCTCTATGATTTCCATATGTCTGCAATATTTTTAATAAAGATCACATATTTTCTGCAATGTTTTATTATGAATAATTCAAATTACATAAAAGTTGAAAGACCTATACTATCAATTGACAGATACCAATCACCTAGATTCAAAAATTAATCTTTCATTATGATGTTTGCTTAATCATATACGTCCCCATCCTTCTCTGCTCCAATCAAGCACACTATTTTTTGCTGCATTTGAAAGCAGGTGCAGACATCAGCGCAGTCACACCCCATTCACTTCAGCAGGCAAATTAGAACATATTCCACCAATGTTGTTGACAGACACAGGTCGGGTAGGAGTCAGAGCCAGTGTTGTAAAGTGATGGCGAGTTCAAGGTGACCCAGGGTTATTTCAGGTGCCAGAGAGTTAGATGAGAACATGAGGAGAGCAGACGAGAGGAGAAAGGCAGACTCTGAAATAGTCTGTTGAGGACTGAGGAAGGCTGTTGTGAAGATGGAGTCTTTGCCCAAGGGAGAGAGGAGAAAGAAAAGTGTGGAGAGAGAGACAGAGAGAGACACAGATGAAGAGCCATGTCCTGAAGTTTCAGGGCTGCAGAGTTTAGGGTGTGGGGCCAACAGAAACATGTTGCAGCAGGTGCTAAGCCCTTGGCCCAGTGGAAGGTGCAAGTAGGGAGCCCCAGAGATGTGGGAAGGGGAAAAGGAAGTGGTAACCTGGGCTTCAGCTGAGGACTGAGGGAAGAACAGCAGAGCCCCACTCCTCCCGCTGTGTCAGGGATTCAGGGCCGGTGGAGAAGGTCTGGAGCTCCACATCCGCCCAGTGAGGCAGCAGAGGAGGGAGAGCGGGCTGGAGAGAGCTGGGAGGAGCAGGGGGCCCAGCCTGCCTGTGCCTGTGTTCCTGATCCGATTCCAATTCGCCAGGTGTTAAAGAGCCACGGACAAGACTACCTGGTTGGCAACAGGCTGAGCAGGGCTGACATCCACCTGGTCGAACTTCTCTACACTGTTGAAGAGCTTGACCCCAGCCTTCTGGCCAACTTCCCTCTGCTGAAGGTGATCTCTTTCACAGCCCTCAGGACGGAAGGCCCACACCTCCCATCTTGGAATCTAATATTTGGCCTCTTGGGTCCCCATTAATGTGCGGGCCTTTGCTGCCCTCTGGTCTCCACAATTAGCTCCTAGGCCCTGGTCTGAGGCATGAGAAGACTCTCCTTATGCCAAGGAAATCAGAGTGGATTCTTCCCGAAGAAGGATAATTTGTCTTTAAAATGAGAGGAACCCAGCATCAGCACCTCTCTCCCAGGCCTCCGTTCCATTACGGATTCTGTCCTCTTTTCTCTGTGATTCCCTTGACCCAGGAGTGTCCTTCTCCTTCCACACCCGAGTCTGTGAGCAGCTGTCCTCCCCTCGGCTCCTGCTCCTCCTTCCACACATTGCGTTTCTCTCTGCACAGTCTCCCCTCTCTCCCCGTGACTCTCCCTCAGTGGGCAAATTGATTTTGATGGGCCTCATGGTTTACCTTTTATATTTCCTGTCTTCAGGTCCTGCCCACTTTTCCCATATCTTTGCTTTTCTTGACTGGAGACTTTATCTGTGCTGATGTTGCACAGACACATTACTCTTCCTTGTGTTGCAAAGAGCCATGAATCCACAGGATGAGTGTGTAGGGAAGAAGACAGGGAAGAAAATGCACTTGAGCTGGATTTTCTTGCTCTTATCGTCATGTCTCATGGGATGTCTGTTCCCGGCCTCCTGCTGGTGCCGATGGAGGAGACTCAGGTGGTCCTCGTCTAGGAGGGTCTCAGATTCCCTGGCTTGTGCTAATGACGGGCTTGGTCTTTGGCTCCACTCTGAGGCTGTGCTCTTGTGCATTGCAGGCCCTGAAAGCCAGAATCAGCAACCTGCCCACCGTGAAGAAGTTTCTGCAGCCTGGCAGCCCAAGGAAGCCTCCAGTGGATGAGAAAAATTTAGCAAAAGTGAAGGAGATTTTCCAGTTAAAATAAAGGAGTCCTGGCCCCCAGCACAGGTAGGAACGATCTTCTGAAGTTTTCCAGCAATGATGTTCTTCACCTAAATGTAGATCCTGGGACTGTTGTGGGACTAATAAACTCTTCCCCAGTTTTAGTGGTGATTATCTACGATGACTCCTGTGAGCAGATTTCACTACAATTTATTGTATTATTATTAAATCACTACATTTATTCTTTGTAATTAAGATCAAATTTGTAATCAGATTTTCAGTCTCCTTCTATCCTGTCTTGCTTGGAATGAAAAAGGAAATAAAAAGTGGAAACATAGATCATGTGGTCTCCTTGATCTTTTCCAGACTTTGTCATATAACCTCTGTCACAGAGCCACCCAAGAGTCAAGTGCAGAAATTCGTATCTGACACTCTCAGGTGTTCACAGCAAATAGCTACCTTTGTCGGTAATGGCTGAAGAGATTTTTCTTTTTCTTTGAGAGCCATTATTCTTCTAATTGTAAAAATGTTTTTCTTACATTTTTGAGCAGCTGTTATGCCTACTATGGACTCTTTCATGTTCTGGGTTGAGGGGAAGGAATGAAGAACAAAACAGACCCGAGGTCTGCTCTAGGGGACCCTGCCGTCCCGTCCCGTCCATGAGCCCTGGCACGTCATTGCTCTGTGGCTTAATGCTCTGTGGGCCCCGGGCATGAGCCTCCCTCTCAGTTCACTGAACGTCCCTCAGACCCGGGCTTCCAAGGCCCAGACTGTCTGCATGAATTATATAAAAACGAATGTGTCTAAAGTCATCGTTCTGGGCCCGAGGGCCTGGGATGGGAGTGATTTCCAGCTTAGCCACCCTCAGGGCCAATGAATAAGACTCCCCGAAACTGTGGGCTTTGGCACACTAAGTTCTCCTGGCCTGAGTGTGAGGGTCCCCACAGTGGGGGGTGGGGCAGGGAGCAGACAGACCCAGGGCTCCTGCCTGAGGCTTCACCTCCCTCTAGTCTGTTCTCTGCTCACAGCCAGAGTGTTTCCTAAAGTGCAGATCTGAGTCTCACCCCCTTCTTGAACTCCTTCAGTGACTCCCATCGCCTGCAGTGTGGCATCCTCACCTCCTGCTCCCACAGCTCTCCAGCCCCATCACACTCCCTGGCAAGGCGGGGCCTCCTGCCTTCCTGCCTGGGCCTGTCTGCCAGCCCTGCCCTGCCAGCTTCTTCGCCCTGGCCACACTCAGCTCCTGCCCTCGGAGTTTCCCAGGGGGAGCTGGGCTCTCCTCTGGGCCCCCACCAAGCTCATGAACCTCTCAGAGACCTGAAGGTCACTGCCTCTTCCATCGTCCTGTGAGCTCCTGGTGTTGGGCAGCGCTCTGCGGGGTCCCCAGGCTCCCTCCCCAACAGCGAGAGCACCATGCAGAGCTCCACGCCCACCTCAGTGACCTAAGGGTGCGAGTCTGGGCTTTGGGAGTTCCTCACAATTCCCCCACACTCCCCCCTGCCTGACTTCTGTGCCCATTCCCCTCGTGTTCAAAATATGTTTATTCCTGTCACCAAATGCAGTGTGTGGGCCTTGCCAGGTTCTAGATGCAAATCAATCAACTGTAAAGAGAGCTTCATGAGACCTTGGGGCAAATGACAGTGTTGAACTCTTAATGAAATGAAGAAATTTTTTAAAAACTTCAGTGTGATAGGAGAATAGTGTGCTCGTGTGTAGAAAATGAGTCCTTACCTCGTAGAGATTGACACACTCAGTTATTGATAGGTAAAGGAACATGCTGTTTAGACTTTGTTTCAAAATAATCCCGTGGTTGTGGGCAGTAGATGGGAGGGTATATTGGCTTCTCCTCATCGCTATATCAAATTACTTCGACCTGGCTGGCTTTAAACTATGGGAAGCATCCTCTCACACTTTTGGAGGCTGAAAGTCCCAAGTGAAGGGGTCGGTTGGGTTTCGCTTCCTCCAAAGGCTCCGGGGGAGGCACCTTCCTGCCTCTCCCAGCTCTGGGGACTTTCTGTGTCCTTTGCTTCCTCGACTCACGGACACATTACTTCAACCTCTGACTCCATGTTCACCTCGCCTCACCCTCTGTGTCTGGCTCTTGTCTTCTGTTATAAGGATATGGGTTATTGGATTTAGGGCCCCCCAGGAGAATCCAGAATGATGTCATCCCAACTTCCTTAACTCAATTACATTTGCAAAGACCCTTTTTCCAAATAAGGTCACATTCACAGGTTCCAGGTATGGGGACATGGACCTATCTTCTTGGAGGCCACCATAGAACCCACTGCAGGGAACAGATGAAAAAAGATTATTGACAACTGCTGAAGCAGAAGATGGGTACATTGGAGTTTGTAAGACTATTCTCTCTCCTTCTATATTTGCTAGAAAGTTTCCATTCAATAAGTTTAAAAATTATATTATTTAATGTGCTCCTAATATGTGCAGGGGCTGTGCTAGACCCTGGGGACTTGACTGAAAACAAGATGAAGGCCCTACTTGTAGGGCTCACAGTCTGTGGGGAAACTGATATTAAACACATAGGATCAAAATAATGTGAGAAATGACATAATTGGGGAAATAGAGTTGTAGCTCAAGATAGAGGACTCCAATCAGAGCAAAGAGCATGTGCAAAGGCCCACAGGCTAGAAGGCTGATCTGAGTGTGGCAGAGACACAAAAGTGCACAAATAGGGCTGCTAGACTTAGCGGATAAATACAGGATTCCTGGCGAAATGTGAGTTTTAGAGAAACAATAAATAATTTTTAGCATAAATTTGTTCCATACAATGTTTGGCATATACTTATGCTAAAAAATTATTAATTATTTCTCTGAAATTCACATTTACTCAGGTGTTCTGTGTTTTCTCTTTGACCTAATATGAAAGTATTCCAGAGCTCCACTTGCTCACTACTGACATGAGCTCCTGCTCTGCTCGCTGCAGAGGTTTCTCATCTGCCTCTGTCCTTCCATCCAATTCATGAAAACCTTACAGTAAGTTTCATCAAAAAGCCACGCCCCACTGACCGGCAGAGAGACTGCAAAAGTCCTGAAATTTTGTGTTTAATTTCTTAGTTGCCAACCTTGCAAAGGAACATATTAACTTGTTTCTTTGTGATAAGAGGATGACTTGTCAGTTTTCTTCTAATCCAGCAGCGAACCCTTGGCCCCTGAACTCTGTAGGAGCAGCTTCTCAAATGTAGGGCATGGGGTTGCTGGAGCAGCTCTTGCAACTGTCTCAGGGCCAGGAAGGGCTTGAACCCTCTGAGGATTTCCTCTCAGACCACCCCTGGTGCCCTGGGGCTCCCTCTCTTTGCTTTCTCCTGCTTTTGGCACCATGCCCTAGCTGTATCAGCTCAGGATCCCACAGTTCTCCCATTAGGGACACCCCAAAATGAGCATTAGAACTTGACAACCACAGGCAAAAAGAGTGAAAGAAAACCATTATCCTACACCACACAGAAAAATTAACTTACATGGATCAAAGACTTGAATGTAAGATCTGAAACTGTAATAATTCTAGAAGAAACCCTATGCGCTAGGTTCTTTGACATCGGTCTTAGCAGCATATTTTCGAGTCCCATGTTTGACTAGGCAAGGGCAACAACAGAAAAAACAAACAAATGCGACTACGTCAAACTAAAAAGCTTCTGCACAGCAAAGGAAACCATCAACAAAACGAAAAGACAACCTAACAATTGGGAGAAGATATTTGCAAACCATATATGTGATAAGGGCTTAATATCCAAAATACGTGAAGAACTCATACATCTCAACAACAAAAAAACTAACAACCCAATTAAAAAATGAGTAAAAGATTGAACAGACCTTTCTCCAAAGAAGATGTACAGATGGCCAATGGGCTCATGAAACGTTGTTCAACATCACTAATTACTAGGGAAATGCAAATCAAAACTACAATGAGGTATCACCTTACACCTGTCAGAATGGCTATATTAACAAGACAAGAAATAACAAGTGTTGGAGAGGCTGTGGAGAAAAGGCAACTCTCACGTACTGCTGGTGGGAGTGCATCCACTATGGAAAACAGTATTTCTCAAAAAATTAAGAATAAAACTACCATACGATCCAGCTTTTCCACTTCTGGGTATTTATCCAAAAACACAAAAACACAAATGCATAAAGATATATGCACGCCTATGCTTATTGAGGCCTTATTCATCATAGCCAAGATTTGGAAGCACCTATGTGCCCATCAACGGACAAAGGAATGAATAAGAGGTGATATATATACCCAATGGAATACTACTCAGCCTTAAAAAAGATTTATTCTTGACATTTGCAACAACATGAATGGTCCTTGAGGGTATTATGCTAGGCAAAATAAGTCAGAGGAGAGAGTCAAATAGCATATGATCTTATTCATAAACAGAGGATAAACACAACAAAAATCAAACATGTAGAGACAGAGACTGGGTTGGTGGTTACCAGAGGGGAAAGAGAGAGAGAGGAGGGTGAAAGAGGTGATTCCAACATGTGTATGGTGACGGATGGTAATCAGTCTTTAGGTGGTGAACAGGATGTAACCCACACAGAAATTGAAATATAATGATGTACACCTGAAATTTATGTCATGTTATAAATCAACGATATCTCAACTCAAAATACAAACATGCCTTAGCGTGAAAGAGGAGAAACGGGCCTAGAAGTTGCCTGGAATTCTTTTTTCTGACAGGTTTGACAAGGTGATGTCCTAGCAGCAGTATAGACTCAGATAACAAGATGGTGTTGCGTTACCTGGAATGCCTGGTAATCCAGTGAGGAGGGAGAAAAAGAGCGAGGGCCAGCAGCAGTGGCTGGGAAAACGGGGCCCCCCAGCACGCACTACCCAATGGTGGGATCTGAAGAGCATACAAAACACCCTCCATAGAAATCTCACTAAGTCCTGGCCTTAATGTCAGCAACCCCATAGACTTGTTTTCAGAAGCCCCGACTGAAATGGCAAACAGGTGGTGGCCCTGCTGCAGCCTCTTCCAACTTCTTCCTCAAATATCCATGAAGAGAAATCGAACACAAAACATACAGGGGGTGGTATAGACTGAGGTGCAGTACAGCAGAGACCTCAGAGGATGAGGGACAGGAAACCTGCAGTGGACCCAAGCCAGTGGGATTATAGAAGAGGTTGAGGCCCATGGTGCGGGCACAGCGACAGAGGTCTGCAAACCGTGATGAACTAGGAAGGCAGGAGGACGGTGGAGTCACGACTCCAGGTGCTCAGGCCTTTAGGAGCAGGACACCAGCCACAGCCAGAGACAAAGGACGAAGTGTCTGAGGGTCTAGAGGATAAGGCTGGTTAAGGGAAGGACCAAAAGGGGTGATTCTCAAGTTCCAGAAATTACCAGAATGATGACTTGGAACCCAACTTATGACCCAGTTATATGCATGGGTCACCTGACATGGATTAGCAGAGGTTGAGCCCAAATGGCTAGGGTTACTTCAAAAAATTTGATACAGGGCTGAAGCAGCCAGGTCATGTCAATACAACCATATCTGGGGGGACTCCTCTCTGCTGTGGTGGGGCCACATGATTAAAATTAAAACCCTGTAAGGAACTGTGGCTGTTACTCAAAAGCTAAATGTAGAATTACCATGTGAGTCAGCAATTCCACTACTAGGTAGGGTATCAAGAGAACCAAAAACACATCCACACTAAAACAGGTACACAGATGTTCGTAACAGTGTTGTTGTAATATTCAAAAAGTAGAAACAGTACAAATGTCCACCAAGTGATGAATGGATGAACAAAGGGTGGTTTATTCATACAATGGAATATTATTTAGACACAAAGAGGAATAAAGCACTGCTGCAGGCTACAACACGGATGAACTTTGAAAACATTTTACTAAATGAAAGAAATCAAACACAAAAGGCCACATGGTGTGTGATTTCAATTGTAAGAAATGTGCAGACATTCAAATCCAGATAAACAGAAAGCAGTTATGTGCGTGTCTGGGGACGGAGTCAGGGGGAAATGGGGAGTGACCATCAAGGGTACAGGATTTCTTCTAAGGGTGATAGAAATGTTCTGAAATCGGAAAGTGATGATGGTTTGAGAATGTATTCAACTGCTGAATAGTACACTTTAAAGGTTAACATTATGGTATGTGAATTATATGTCAATAAATCTTTTATCTTAAAAAAAAACCTCTTATAGGAAGCCTTGTTTGGAACAGTAAAAACACAACAAAACAACAAATCATTTGGAGTTTGCTCTGGATGGAACTGAGCGAAGAATTGCAGCATTTCAGGGGATACTTTAGGTTTGTTCTTGAGAAATGCAAACATGGTCAGCATTGGGCAGCAGCACCTGGAGAGGGCTGTGAACCATGTTCTATGGAAATCATTGGAGGAGCTGCTAACATTGGGCACTATGTGGGCCTGGGTGTTGTAACAGGATGAGAAGGAGAGGGACGTGGCTGAGACGCTGTGCCAGGGACTCCCTGTGGAGGTGACTTAAGTGGCAGGTGTTTGGCCGTGTGAACCACACTGAATTTGTGCACAGAACAAACCCAGCAGAGCTGACAAACCCTAGCTAGAGTCTCAGTGGTTACTTGCAGTGATCCCATCAATGTCTCTGACGTCTGTGACTCGGGCAGGTCACCCATGCTCTCTGCCTTATGTTTGGTCATGCATGTAACAAAAATTTTAACATATATCTACCTCGAGAGCTTGTTCTAGAATGAAATGTGAAAATTAGGTAAAAGTCATAAGTGAATGACTGGCCTATAAAAATGCTCCCAATGGAGGTGAATTCCTTTGCCACCTCCTGATGCTCCATTCTTTTACATTTTTCAACTACAAAGTCTAAGGCAGGAGACATTTGACACTTCAGTCATTTTTGTCTTTCAAGATTGGTATGTACACAGAAGGTGTGGCAGATTTGAGTGAAATGATCCTGCTTTTACCCGTAAGCCCACCTGATGACAAAGATGCCAATATTACCCTGATGAAAGAGAGCACAACAAATCTTTCTTTCTCTGCATTTGAAAAAGTGAGTTGGTTGTTCAGCATCTTGGGTGCACTGAGTTTAGAGGAGAAAGAAGAAGAGAACCGGGCATTCCTGGGACAATGACCTTCACTCCCAGTCAGCCTTCCTGAATCCTAGTGAATGGAGCATCCTGACTCTCAAGGCATTTTATAAAAATCCGCTGTGAGATAGAGTGGCACTAGTTTCACCCAGGTTAAAATCTTTCAGCAAAATTTCAATTTGCTAGGATGCAATCTAGAATATTCTATTCAATGGAATTTCAAGGTCGTGGAGCTTGGGATGTGGAATCCTCTGAGAGCCACAATAGAGATTGGAGCAGATCCTGAGAACACCAGAAGGGGGCTTTAGCTCCAGGAGGAACACGATGAAAGCAATACATCAGAAAATACTCTGGCAACACATATATGGAGACATGAGACCAGCTTCCCATCAGGAGAATGTGGTAGAGTGTCAGGGAAGAGAAGAGATGTAACTAAACAGAGACAGGGCAGTGGATGGAGAGGAAGCGACAGGTGAAGTGATACCAAGGGAAAATAATCTTCAAGTTTTGGGGACATTGCTCCTAGATTTTAGAAAAGTCTTGTAAAACCAAGGAAATTAAACTCCATCAGTAGACATAGTACCTGTCTTAGTTAACATTTCTCTTTGAAAGTAAGGAGACTATTTCTAGATCAGAACTACCCGAAATCACACTAAATAAAAATCATGAAGCAAACATATGATTGTAAGAGATATAGGAGGCTTACACATCAATAAAACCATCATCTTTATAAAGCGTTAGATCTTTCTTTTATTCATTCAACAAATGTGCATTCGTTGCTAGTGTGTCAGGTCCTGTTCAAGGATTGAAGAGTTTAATAAAAATCACAATATCCACTCTCCTGGCCCTTGTGGTGCTGAGAGTTTAGCACATTCACATAGTGACAGGCTCTTCAGTCACTGCAGTTTCTAAAACATGTATACTTTGAAGTCAAAGAGGCCCATGACAACTTAAATGAAATATGTGTATTACAATATAGCATTTGATGCTTTGTTATATACTCTTACCTTCCCCAATACTATCAAACCAAGTGTAAGGAAACCTTCATGAGTTGTTGGGGGAAATTAGAATCCTGAATATTTAATGAAATGAAGGAATTATAAAAAGTTAGCGTGATAGGCTAATAGTCTGCTTCTGTTTAGTAAAAGAGTCCTTACTTCTTACAGATGAACGCAGTAAACTGTTGATAGATGGAGTGATATGCTGTCCAGGATTAGTTTCAAAATAATCCCATAAAAGTGGGAGCCGTTTGTGGGAGTCAATATTAGTTTCTTGTGGTGGTTGTATCAAATTACTTCAAGCTGGGTGGCTAAAACAAGGAAATGTACTCTCTCACACTTTTGGAGGCCTGAAGCCCCAAGTCAAGGTGTCAGCTGAGTTTCGCTTCCTCCAAAATGCCTCAGGGAGACGGCTTCCTGCCTTTTCCAGCTCTGGGGGCTTTCTGCGTTCTTTGCTTCCTTGGCTCGTGGACACATTACTTCCACCTCTGACTCCATCTTCACCTCACCTCACCCTCTGTGTGTTGTGTTTTCTCCTCTGCTGTAAACATGTGTGTTATTGGGTTTAGGGCCCATGAGGAGAATCCAGAATGATCTCATCTCACTTCCTGAACTCAATTACATCTGCAAAGACCCTTTTTCCAAGTAAGCTCACACTCACAGGTAGCAGGTTTTTGGACATGGACCTATCTTTTTAGGGGCCCACCATACCACCCACTACAGGGTATGGAGGAAAAAAATTGTCAGCAATTGCTGAGGCAGGGGATGCCTACACTGAATGGGTAGCATGCAATCTTTGGGATACACTTATACTAAAAAATTGTTTATTATTTCTCTGAAATTCACATTTAATCAGGTGTTCTCTGTTTTGTCTTTGACCCAATATAAAAGTATTCCAAAGCTCCACTTGCCCCTTCCTGACATCAGCTCCTGCTCTGCTCATGGCAGAGGTTTCTCATCTGCCTCTGTCCTTCCATCCAATTCGTGAAAACCTCACAGTAAGTTTCTTCAAAAAGCCATACCCCACTGACAGGCAGAGAGAGTGCAAATGTGCTGAAATTTTGTGTCTTATCTTTTAATTCTTACTTTGAAAAGAAATATAGTAACCAATTGTTTTGTGGTGAGAGAATGACTTGGCAGTTTTCTTCTAATCTCGCATGAACTCTGAACCCCTGAACTCTGTAGAAGTGGCTTTTCCTTGACTGGGCTCCACCCGTTCCAGAGGGAGGAGTTATTCCATTATAAAAACACCTTGTGAACACCTGAGGGGCTGGCCTTGAGCTGCTGAGCCAAGTGGGAGACAGAATTTCAGAAGGTAAGTGCTGATATTATGAATCTTCATACCTGCCTCACATCCTCACATCTAGGTCATCACAAAAATACTTTAAACTGTATCCTTAGCACAAGAAAAATCTGTTTTAGACTCACATCATGCCCCCTTGGTGTTCTTGGGGTCAGTTCAAGAGTTATTTATTCAATTGCTGTTGGATCATCTTTGCAGAAATGTAAAAATGAAAAATTTTGAAAACTAGGGCAGGAGAATTCAGATATGAGCAAATACATGATAGGAGGAGAAAAAGAATGATACCATTTTAGGCTATCTGAGAATATGACCTGTGCAAGAGGGAATGTGGGTGTTTATGCTGAAGTTACTTTCTCTACAGAAGGAGTTGACGCACAAGAGTTGTGAACTGTAATGTTGTAATGCTAGGTAGGCTGTAAAAATTCAAAGTTAAGATTGATTATAACAGGAATAAACTAGTCTGAAGGTGAGCAGAACTAGATTCTAGTTCAGTCTCTGCTGGGATTAGCTCACAGGCAAGTGTTATGCTCTCTCTGGCGTCCCACCAACTCATGGCAAACCCTGAAAATGGCTGGAATGGGTGACCTCAGTCTTGGCACTGTTCACATTGTGGGCTGAGTAATGCTTTGTCTTGGGGAGCTGTCCTGTCCATTGTCTTTTCTTGTTTAGTTAAAAAATGTTTATTATAGAAACCTACATTTAATTAGTTTTAAGGAATGCACTTGAGAATAGTGTTAAAGTCCATTTTCCTCAAATTTGCAAAGTTTACACCTTTAAGATATCTCCAGTGATGGTTTGCTTACACATTTTACAGGAAATGATAGTCTCATCAATACTCGACTCTCATTTTTTCTTTTCATTTCACTCTGTCCTTGTTAAAAAACACAATGTGAAGATCAGCTTCCATCCTAGTGCTGGTGGCAGCTGCAGAGTCGAACGAGAGGAGCAAATGGATAGAGATGAATGACTCTCTTGTTGAAAATTGTATTTTTCAACAAAACTTTATCCTGGGAAGGTGACACGGATGTAATAGGCAACTTCAGTCCAACACAAGGTAGTGCCAGCTAAATATCCACTCAGTGTGTCTATTGGAATAACATGGCAGGTGACAAATGAGCTGGGTAAAATGCAGAAGGACTGAGGGTGGATAAGAAGCATTAAGATGCACATCGAGGCATTGCCCCACTCCAATCAGAGGCATCTCTGCTCTCGACCCCATGGATGTGGCACCCTCCCTCCTGGCTTTGACAACCAAAAATGTCTCCAGAGGTTGCCAAGTGTCCTCTGGGGCTGGAGGGGCAAAATCACCCCCTGTTAAGAGTCCCTGGATGACGTGACCTCTCACACTCCCCAGCATGAAAGTCTTGATGGCAAAACTAGGTAATCAGAGGGTGTAGAATGAGTTCTTAAAAGGCACAGGAATTCACCTAGATAGAAGGGACGAGTCATTCACATCAGAACATTAGTCAGCCACGAACTGTTATAAGTATTAGTCTTGGAGAAAAAAGAAAGTTCTCACACAGGAGAGACGGAGAGATTCAGGGAGATGATGTGAAAGTCCCGGAGCAGTCCGAACGCGAGAGAACCCACGGGGAAAGCTCTAGGACTATGGGAGAAGGTACTGCAATGGCGATGAAAAGCACCAGGCAAGGTTCTCTGGAGAGCAAGTGTGACAGGGGGAGGCGGGGCCTCCTGTGCAGGGGAGGAAGGCAGCCCCGTGGGGAGAGAGGAGGGAGCTGGGACTGGATGCTGCCCGGGAGGAGGGAGCGCCCTGCGCAGACGCAGCAGCCCCTCAGCTGTCTCCCCTGGCAGCCTCCTCACCTTGCTCTGACTTGCTTGGCTGTGAGACTCATGACTGTTGGTTGGAACCACCCAGAGTAAAGTCCCTGCTGGGCCCTTTGTGCTCTGTCAGTTGTCCACAAACCTGCTTTACTGACAGACTTTAACCCCTTTAGGTGAGGGAGCAGGTCAGGCTGGATCTTGTCCCCGACCAGCCCTCGTTTCTCAGCACCCAAAACTGCTCAAGCAGTGTTGGCTGCAGAAGTTTGAAGGAAATTTTTTAAATAAGGAAATACATCTACATGTAAACCAGAAATTAGTGTCAGAGAAGGATCAGTGGAATGTGTGCGTTTCCAGGTAAGCAAGAGGACGCTGGAGCGACATGATCATTTCATCAAGTGTAGACAGGGAGACCCACCCGAGTGCTGAGAACAGCTGGAGAACCAAGCAGTGGGTCCTCTATTCCAATGGCTGGAACCCATGCACAGGGGGCCTGGGCACAAGACAGAGTCCAGAGTGCCTGGATCAGGGAGTGAGTGGCAGTGGGGCGGGCCAGGGGAGAGAGGCATGTGGGGTGCAGGGTCCAGGGGCAGGACCAGGGATCTGCTGCATTTGGGGCTATGCAAGGCTGTGGGTAATGACTTGCCAGAGCCGGGAACCTTTGCCAAAATCTTCCTGCAATGCAGGTTAAGTCATCCGTGAAGATCACCAATCTTTCCACATGAGCTAAATACAAGGAGCCTTAAATGACATTTGAAAAGAAGTCTGGAGATATGTGTGTATATATATATGTATAAACTATGTGTAATTTTATTCCCACTGGAGCTCTGTCAAGACATAGATAGACAGATAGATGGATAGATAGGCAGACAGAATGAGAACTAGACAGACTGACACACAGACAGACAGAAGAAAGTAGACACGTATGCTTCCTGGTGTGTTCAACTCACTCATCTCCCAGGAACTGGGAGCAGGAGGGAAGTTGGTTTTCTGATCCCTATGATGAATTTTTCTGTACATTATCTCACTTAACTTTCTCCACAGTCCTCAAAAGTAGAGAGAAGTCTATCTTATGAAGAGAAAATTGCGGTGCAGAGATAAAACAACCTGCCAGGGTCTGTGTTCCTCGTGAGGAAAGTAGCTGGGCTTTGGCTCCAGTCTCCCTTCTCTCTGCTAAGAAGCACTGTAATCAGGACCCGCCCCCCGACCCCAGCATCGCTCCTTTAGTTTACCCCTGGAATTATCATGCACACATGCATTTGAGGAACGTAAGCCCTCTCACCTATTAAGGTTAACTGTAGTTATGCTGGTCCTCAGCGTACTCACAGTAGAGTTTTAGGAAGTCAAAGAAAAGCAAGGCACATTTTTATCAATGTTTCTTCTTATCAGGCCCCTAAAATCAGCTGACAGAGAGGAACTCAAGAATCCCATGGTTCCCTCTCTCCCTCCTCTTAAACCGCTAGTTGGTGATGGATTCCGAATGGGAAAACCAAACAAGAGTCTCAGAGAGAAGCCTAGAGAGAGCCTAAGTCTCACCCGGGGAGTGAAACCTGAAATCACGTGGCTTGACATCCGAGGACGAATGTTTGAGCCCAGTGAAGCTACTGTGTGTCTATGAACTCCAGTTTCCTCATCTTTAAAATAGGACATTAGAAGCTATTTCCTGGGTTGTTGTCAAGGGTGGACACACTTGCTGGACAGTAAGTGTGAATCAGGTACATACATGCGTGACCTTTGGCAATTCATCGAATCTCTCTAGTTCTCATTTTCTGTTGACCGGGCAAAGTTTTTCTTCATGCAGCCAGCAAATTGGAGAGCCAGGATTTGAATCCAGACAATCTGGGTTCAGATCCTGTATTTTTTGTTTTTTTATTGGTGTCATAATAGTTTAAACATTGCGAAATTTCAGTTGTACATTATTATTTGTCAGTCACCATAGAAATGTGCCCCTTTACCCCTTATGGCCACTCTCCAACCCCCCTCCCATCTGGTAACCACTAATGTGTTCTCTTTGTCCCTTTACTTATTTGTCTTCCATGTATAACTGAAATCATAGGTGTTTGTTTTTCTCTGTCTGGCTTATTGTGCTTAAAATAATGGCCTCAGGGTCTCCCCATGTTGTTGCAAATGGGACGATTTTGTCTTTTCTCGTGGCTCAGTAGTATTCCATTGTGTGTGTATTATATATATATATATACCACATCTTCTTTATGCAGTCCTCGATCGATGGGCACTTGGGTTGCTTCCAAGTCTTGGCTATTGTGAATAATGCAGCGATCAACCCAGGGGTGTGTGAGTCTCTTTGAATAGCTGATTTCAAGTTCTTTGGATAAATATCCAGTAGTGGCATACCTGGGTCCTATGGTATTTCTATTTTTAATTTTTTGAGAAATCTCCATACTGTTTTCCACAGTGGCTGCACGAGTTTGCATTCCCAACACCAGTGTATGAGGCTTCCCATTTCTCCACATCCTCTCCAAAATTTCTTATTTTTTGTCTTGGTGATTATAGCCATTCTAACAGGTGTAAGGTGATATCTTATAGTAGTTTTGATCTGCATTTCCCAATAGTTAGTGATGTTGAACATTTTTTCATGTGGCTGTTGGCCATCTGGATACCTTCTTTGGAAAATGTCTGTTTATATCCTCTGCCCACTTTTTGAACGGGTTGTTCGTTTTTTTGTTGTTGAGTTGTATGAGTTCTTTATATATTTTGAAGATTTAACCTCTTATTGATATACAATTTGCAGATATTTTCTCCCAGTTGATGGGTTGTCTTTTCACTTTCTTCCTGGATTCCTTTGCCTTACAGAAGCTTTTTGATCTATAGTCCCATTTGTTTCTCTTTTCTTTTGTTTCCCTTACCCAAGTAGAAATGGTATTTGAAAAGATCCTTCTAAGACCAATGTCAAAGTGTGTAGTACATATATTTCCTTCTATGAGTCTTATGGTTCCATGTCTTACCTTCAAGTCTTAGATCCATTAGTTAATTTTTGTGTACGGTGAAAGATAATGGTCTACTTTCATTCTTTTGTATGTGGCTGTCCAGTTTTCCCAACACCATTCATCGAAGGAACTTTCCTTTCTCCATTGTATGTTCTTGGCTCCTTTGTTGAAGATTAGCTGCGTGTAGGTGTGGTTTTATTTCTGGGCTTTCAATTCTGTTCCATTGATCTCTGTGTCTGTTTTTGTACCCGTACCATGCTGTTTTGATTGCTATAGCTTTGTAGTATA